ATAATTTGACCAAATTAATGACTTGCAATAAAATAAGTTAAACTAATTCAAACTAAAATTAAAATAATAGAATATAATAACTAAAATAAAATTCAAATAATCAAGAATACCTAAATTAAATTAAATAGAATACAAAAAATAAATTATATAATATACTTCATTAAACAAAAAAATGAATTTGAGTTGAACAAACACAAATAAGTCTTAATTGACAATAACAAACAATATTGACTTCAACGATCAATATTGAGTTGGACATCGTGACTATGTTTAAAAGAGACGACGTGATGATGGCGGAGGGTGGCTGAAAGAAAACTATAAAAGAGTGACAAAACTTAAAAGTTTGTATGGTTGTAAAAAAAATATAGAATTCTTTTTTGTGATTGAAAAATGTATGTTAAGTTTTAATATTGACATATTTTTTTTTTAAATGGTCAATTTAATGCATTTTATTGAACCAAACGATTTTACAAAATCGGCTCCGATTCTTTGGTTCGAATCGTTTTGGACGGTTCAACCCAGTTTTTTCGATTTTACTCCTTGATCCACTGACGATTTTAAAAGGTTGACCCAACCAGATTCATTTTCGAATCTCGGTCCAACCGGTTGAACGATTCGGTCGGTTTTAAAAACATTGGTCTATATATAAATTGTGCATTATAAAAACTAACTTTTATATTAAAATTGTTCTCAGAAAAAATAATGTGAAAAACATAATGAAAAAAATTATTAGTGTAATATAATTATTTTAATTTTTATGTTAATAATATTGAAAATGATTCCGTGTATATAATTTGTCATAAATTATAATTAACTTATTAAAAATCATCTTTATTGATTCTAACCATTTAATCATTATTTTTCTCTATTGTTGATTTTTGCAGGTCCGAACAGTCGAAACGAAGATCGGCGCGAAGACAATTAGGATTCTTAGAAAAATAATTAAAAATCCATTTGTAATTGTAATCATCTTTATATATTGTAATAAAAAATATAGAATTTAAATAAATAAATTCCATTTTTCTTAATAAATTTAATTCCTGATCACGCGAAGACAATTAGGATTCTTAGAAAAATAATTAAAAATCCATTTGTAATTGTAATCATCTTTATATATTGTAATAAAAAATATAGAATTTAAATAAATAAATTCCATTTTTCTTAATAAATTTAATTCCTGATCAAATTTCTCCGCGTAAATTCATCCGATTAAACTCAAGCAACTTAATTCACTCGATTAAGTTCAACCGATCAAAATCATCCGATTAAATTCAAATCGACCAAATTCATCCGATTAAACTCATCCAAATAAATTCGTATGATTAAATTCATCCAATTAAAATTATCTGATTCAGCTTTGACGTTCCAAACTCCGAATTCGACAATAAATCATCTTGCACGATTTAATTCTGACGTAACTGCTGAGTTCCAACAAAACTCTTTGCAAATTAATTCGTATTAGATAATAAAACCGGTGCATATGGTCTTGAGCGGATAAGCAAAGAAATCCAATTAAACGGCAAAACAAACTTCCCTTCGCATTTAAAATTCGAATTGTATCTTGAATAATCTAACTTCGTAACCTGAGTCGATTCCAACTGAATGCCCGTGATCAACCCAACTGATATTCATTAGAAATTCAACGCGAACCGCAAATACTGTTCTTTTAATTTCGACCAGTAGCTAGCAGAAAGCAGGAAAACATGTGTCTGTTAGAATAAACTCCTCAATGCAAATTCTCACACCAATTTGACCCGAATTCGTTTATATTTCAATGCCCTCGGTTCCATAGGGTTTAGGAAGCAAACAACATTTCACAACTCGCAAACGACTACTTCTGGTTCTTGAACAAAAATGTACTGTGTCACGATAAACCGGACGTAAAAACGGTCGTACAATTCAACCTATTCTCAAATAAAAGTCGCATGATCCGGAGATAGAAATCCTAATCATTCGAGGGGTCTCTGATAAGGGATTTGCTTCACAAATTTTCACAAAAACTCTAAATAACTCTAATTGATTCTAAAAACTCTAAATAACTCTAATTGATTCTAAAAAATCTTTATAAAAACTCACAAAAAATAAAATTCTATATTAAAACAAAATAAAACTCTATTTAGCTCCTAATAATAAAAATCACTAAAAATTATATTTAACCTAAAAACTATTTTTAAACTATATAATTAAATCTATTTAAAATAAAAACTATTTCTAATAAAATTAAAAACGGTTAAAACTCTAAAATCAAAATCAAAATCTAAAAACTATTTAAATCCTAAAATATCTCTAACATTACTAACTTAATTCTAAAATCCTAAAATATCTCTAACATTACTAACTTAATTCTAAAATCCTAAAATATCTCTAACATTACTAACTTAATTTTAAAATCCTAAAATATCTCTAACATTACTAACTTAATTCTAAAATCCTAAAATATCTCTAAAATTAAATCAAATATAATTAATTCTAAAATCCTGATTCTATTTTCTAGTTCTATTCTATTTGATTCTAAATAACAAAAAGGAATTAAATAATTTCTAAACAAATAAATCTAGTCCTAATTCAAATTCTATTTTAATAAAAAAATCTATTTAATTCTAATACTAAAAATACACTAAAAACTAATCTATCCATCTATTTTTAAACAATATTAAAAAGAAACCTATTTAAACTAATTCTAAACTATTTAAAAATAATAATAATAATAATAACTAATAAATATTCTATGTTAAAACTATTAAAATAAAATATATTCTAAAGAAAAAATAAATAACTATTCTAACTCTAAAATATAATAAAACTTATTCAATATTTCTAAAAAAATAAATATTCTAAACTTAATTAAATTAAAAAAGTTAAAACAAAAGTGTATACAGAAAATAAATATTTGAAAAGAAAAATGAGAAAATAAACAAAGTATTGAAATTACGAAAAATACCCTTAGGCCACGTGTCGCGCTCCTATTGGATAAAAGAGTCGAGATTTGAAGAATGCCCAATCGGGGCGGACACGTGTCTAAACGGTATGAAATTAAATGAAAAATACAAAATAAAAATGCGAAAATATTTACAAAAGCTAGCGGGCAAATTTAGGGTATGACAACAGGATGAAAGTGATATACAGAGGTAGGACAAATTTGGGGTATGACAGATGCCCCTATCTAATTGGCTTAAACCAAAGGAAATGAATTGCTACAGCGTTCATTCTCTTGAGGTAGAAGTCAATTAGATATGAAGAAGACCTTAAATTTGTCCAAAAGAAAAGAAATGCTCGGGAATTGAACATGCTGGATGAAGTATACCTCTGAGTAAACTATAAGCAACTGAAAAGTTGACCCAACCAAATTCATTTTCGATTCTCGGTCCAATGGTTGAACGATTTGGTCGGTTTTAAAAACATTGGTCTATATATAAATTGTGCATTATAAAAACTAATTTTTATATTACAATTGTTCTCAGAAAAAATAATGTGAAAAACGTAATGAAAAAAATTATTAGTGTAATATAATTATTTTAATTTTTATGTTAATATTATTGAAAATGATTCCGTGTATATAATGTCATAAATTATAATTAACTTATCATATGTATTTTGATTTTAATGTTAAAGACATTTGTAAAGTATTAAATTTAGCTAGTTAATTAGTAATAAAATTAGTAATAGGTAGGATTTTTGGTAAATAATTTAGATATAACTGAATAGTAATGTATAATTGTATTATAAACTAGTTATATGCTCCAACGATTTTTTTAGTGATTTATTTGTAAAATAGTTATCATACAAGCTATAGTTAGTGAATTTCATATAAACATTTTAATTCTAAGTGTTTTCTTTTACTTAAATAAATATTAATTTTAATTAATAATTTAATAACGAACATTTTTCTCTTGATTTTTTAATATAATATAATTGTGTATGATTTATTTATTTATTTAAAAAGTATAAAAGTATTAAACTTAAGTAATTATTAATTGATTCTTGTCTCTTATAAGAGACATAAATTATAGTTAATATAAGAAAAGACAACATACGTGTCAAAACTATAAGTAGGGTTTAAGAGACATAAATTATAGTTAATATAAGAAAAGACAACATACGTGTCAAAATTAGAAGTAGGGTTTATTTTGATTTTATGCTAGAATGTTAATATTTTATTTGTTTAAGGAGTATAAAAACATTAAAATTAATTAATTATTAATTGATTCATGTCTCTTATAAGATAATTAAATTAAAATTAATATATAAAAGGCAACATATGTAAAATTCAAAGAAACAATAAGTGTCAAAAATTAGAAGTTGGGTTAAATCTGGTTTTATGCTAGCATATTAACATTTTATACATTTAAAAAATATAAAAAAAATATTAAACTTCATTAATTATTAATTGATTATTGTCTTTTATAAGAGACACAAATTAAAATTAATATTAAAAAAAGGCAACATATATAAATTAAAAGAAATAATACGTGTCAAAATTAAAATTAGAGTTAATTTTGGTTTTATGCTAGCATGTTGTTTTCGTAGATTTATTTTTAAATTTTTTTACAAAAGATCCATAAAATATATTCATAAATTAATTTTTCAATAAGTAGAGATTAGATTGTAACTACTAACTACAATTGAGGGGAATCACTTGTATTATTGTAATGACATGTTAAGTTTTAGGAAAAATTATGAAAAGTTTGTTAATTATTTTTAGGGAAAATTAAGAAAAGGTAACAAATAATTACATGTTAAGTTCTAAGGAAAATTATGAAAAGTTTGTTAATTATTTTTAGGGAAAATTAAGAAAAGGTAACAAATAATTTTAAACGAGAACATAATTTTCTATAAGTAACAGAACTTGATACTAAATCCTAGTATAATTCAAACTTCAACGACAACTACAATCTCCCTTTTATTTTCTGTCTCTTTCTTGCCGTCACTGCCTGAACGAGACAACTACAATCGCCCTCTTATTTTCTGTCTCTTTCTTGCCGTCACTGCCTGAACGAGAGATGAAGAACCATGCTGATGATGATGCGGCATCATGGTTAACACTCTCATTACCATCTTCATCACGTGTTTCTGCTGCTGCTGCACTTTCATATGAAGAACAAGATATGGTGAATGCATCGTCATGGCTTACACTTTCACTACCACCACCACCTCAGCCTTTACCGTTTGAATACAGACCATTAACACCTTCACTTTCTCCTCCTAATGCTATGACTCGTAGCAATAGCGAGGTGATGGAAAGTCCTCAAACTATTCAACCACCGTTCCCATGGGCAAAAGAACAAGATATGGTGAATGCTCTTACACTTTCTCTACCACCACCACAACCTCAACAGTTAACACCTTCACTTTCTCCTTCTAATGCTATCACTAGAAGCAATAGCAAGGTGCTGGAAAGTCGTCAAACTATTCAACCACAGTTCCCATGGGCAACTTTAAAGCCCGCCACCATTCACACTATTAACCACTTGTTGTATGATTTGAATATTAACACTATTTCAGGTACTCTTGGATGCAAATTATGTAAGTTTCAACAAACTGACGTTCGTTTTGATTTGCTTGAAAAGTTTGAGAAAGTGGCAAATTTCATCGAGGAGAAAAAGTCTGAGATGTTTGAACGTGCACCGGATGCATGGATGAAACCTGTGTTGCCAAACTGCAGGAATTGTGGTCCTAAAAGCAAAATGAGGCCATTGATTGGAAAGAATGAAGAGATCAATTGGCTGTTTTTGTTTTTGGGTGAGATGATAGGTTGTTGCAATCTTGTGCATTTGAAGTATTTTTGCCAACATGCTAATATTCACAGATCAGGTGCCAAAGATAGATTGCTATATCAAACATATTTGAGTTTATACAAACAACTCCAACCACACTGACCCTTTGATCCATAGACTGCAAACTCAATTACTTTAGTTTGATATATTGTTTTTTTCTTCTTCATATTGATCAATGTCTCTGGGCACTTAACAATAATTTTTTCTTCATATATTATTTTATTATTTTATGCTTTTAGTGTGTCGTTGAAGTTTTTTTTATCGAGTGTTCAATTTTTTTCTTTATGATATTTTGATGATCATGGTATTTTGAAAATGCAGACTATTTGTTTTTGTTTTGAGTGAATATTTGTTACTATGATGTATACAGAGTAATATTTGGTTTAACATTTGGTTTAATTCTTAACATGGTGATTTTGTAAAATCTAGTTGAAACTTATAAATAATACACTGCAATGGAGTTTTTTTTCAATGAAATACAAATATAACTCTAAGCATACAAGTAACAACATGAACCGCAGTGTGATATAGGATCATCGTAAACTTTTGAAAGATTTTGAATAAATATCAATTATGTTTCCATGAATAATGTATTTTTTAACCATGAATAATCACTAGTAGAAAAAATACTTTATAATAAAGGTTGGTAAGTCAGTTCACCTGCCACTGACTTGTGATGCGGTGGCTATTTCATAAATATTTGTAACATTATTAGGTCAATTACATTACTTTATAGTAAAGGTTGGTAAGTCCGTTCACCTGCCACTGACTTGTGATGCGGTGGCTATTTCATAAATATTTGTAACATTGTTAGGTCAATTACATTTAGAACTGACTTAAAAAAATATTAAAGAAAAAAAATATAATTCCTATTAAATTTTTTAAGTTGCATGTGTTCACTAAGTGACTTAAAAAGCATATTTATTAAGTGAACCTAACCTAAGTTTTATTCAAACCCTTCTCTCACTACAAATTCTTCTTCTTCATAACAAACCTTTCCATCTTCGTGCTCTCCTGCTCCAACTCTCCACCTCATCACCCAGATATTCCCTTCATCAATCCCTTAACCATTACCTGCGACACCCTTTCCTTTTCTCTATTTCCCCTCATCTCCGCTACCCTAAAAGCTTCACCTTCCCTCCACCGTGACTAGATCTTCAGATGAGTTATAAAAAATTCAATGAATCACAAAGGGAACAACTTGTGCTCAGGAGGTTGAAACAAGGTGAGATTGTGGCACTTATAAGTGACGCTGGAACGCCGGGTATAAGTGATCCTGCTATGGAGTTGGTAAGTGTGCTGCTATTTCTGTGCTTGTTTATTCTTATCATCACTTCTATTCTATTTTGTTTCGTAACTTTATTCATGGTGATAACAATGCAGGCCAAATTATGTGTTAGTGAAAATGTTTCGGTTGTTCCAATCCCAGGTCCTTGTGCTATGGTATCTGCTCTTTCTGCCTCGGGTTTATCCACAGATGAAATGTAGTAATTAACTGATTGAACTGTATGGTTTGGATCGATAATTACTATAAACCAAGAACTAAAACGTATAAGCACTTATCTTTGTAGGTGTGTCTTGGAAGTGCTGGGGCTGTAGACAATGAAGGCAAGTCACTATTACCCTTCCTCTCTGTGTTTAAGAAGAATTTTGGAACATGTGTGTTGAACATTAGAAAACTAGCATCTTCTAGGACATGTCTATCTTTCCTCTCTGCCACCCCGTTTTGTCGTGGGGTGACAACACAAGAGCTTCGATGGATGATCACATGGCTGTCCAAAGACTCTTCAAGAGATGTTTCAAAATATTCTCTTGCATTTTCAGTTTTTAGAACTTGGATTTTGGTTTGAAACTTTGAATCATGGTATTGAATTTTCAAAAAATGTGGCCTAGTTCAGACTTTTCTTTGAGAAGGAACAACCGTGTTATTCTGGCATTATTATCCACAAATAGCAGAAATGTGAGTGTACTTATAGTCATTGTCTTATCTATGCAGGTACAGACTTAAACACAAAAAAGTTAACATAAGAGCTGTTAAGCATTGGTGCAGACAGATTTTGGAAGGTCTCCTCTATCTCCATAGCCAGGACCCTCCTGTAATCCATAGAGATCTCAAATGTGATAACATTTTCATCAATGGTAACCAAGGAGAAGTCAAAATTGGTGATCTATTTTCTAGTAAGGTATTTCATCTTTTTTACTCTTCACTTCATGGGTTGTGTTCTTTTTTGTGTGCTGATTCTACTACCATGCTGATTTTTCAAGTTTTTATTTTTTTTCTTACTTGATCAACACTTGAATTCATTGTATGTTTCTAAGTTTCACGTTGCTTATGATTGGTTTGGTCTTATATCCTCTTCTCATAGTTGGCTTGATTTGTTTCCTGATCAGTTTTGGTGATATTTTGGAAATTTATTAGTTAAAACTTTTTATTTTGTTTTGTTTTTCTATCACTCACCATGTGTTTGATGATGTGTCTATGAGAAAATACTTTTAGAATTACTATTGTTGAAGCTTGTACTTTTCTTGTTTAATTTGTGTGTAACTTATATCTTTTCAATTTTAATAGCCTAGCCCCGACTCTGATCTAGATCTAGTATTTAGTGTATTGATGATTGAAGTGAGAATTTTCTAATTTCATTGACTGATTTGAATTCTTTTGTTTTTCTGTCAGTCACCACCATGTGTTTGATGATGTTTGATGACACGAGGTTTTGTGGTACCCTGAGGCAACCTGATTCAGAGACGGTGGTTGATGATGATTATAGTGATGAAGAAGTGGATGTAGATGAGCATGAGCGAAGGATGTGAAAGGACAAAATGCATCTGAAGCGATTGAAAGAACAAACTAAGGCCAAAGAAGAGAGTGATGCAGAAAAGGAAATGCAGGACCGTAGAGGAATTCTAACAGGACCTCTATTGCTCCGTATTACGCAATTTATAACAAAGTATGGTAAAATAGTTTGAACAAACCGCTATTTTCTGCGATCTGCTTCAAAGGGAGTAAAGTCGGCTTACCAGAGCATAAGCTTGGGGTTGGGCAACAGCCGCATTTTTAGGAATTGCTGAGTTGATAATTTCGGCGGCAAAGCCTCCGAACACGGCACCAACTGCAGCACCAATCATTAAACTCGGTGCATAGAGACCACCTACGAGCCCAGATCCTTTGCAAAGGGCTGTTGCAACAACCTTAGCACCTGCTAATTGAGTCAGAAGCCATATTCCAGGAGCTGAAGCACTCTTTCCGGTACGTAGAATTTCTTCCACGTTTGTGAAACCCCAGTATAATATTCTGGGATATTTGAGGACAGTGATTCCAGCTCCTAAACCACCTAGGGCGGGACAGACAACAGTCGGAAGGCCGAATTTCTCCTGGATAACCTCAAATGTGATAACATTTTCATCAATGGTAACATAAGACTCAGTAAGCATTTTGTAGTTATGTTTTTATATTATATGTTTTAATACCATCGGTACTGATAAAACATATATTATATTAATACCAAAGTGCTGAGCAGCATAACCAAGATGTTAACTCTCTCGGTTTGATTTCTTCGAGAAAAACAAACGAGGCTATCGAGATTCTAAAGCTCATGTCTTCGACTTACTTGATCGCGCTTTGTCAAGCGATTGACTTAAGGAATTTGGAGGAGAATCTGAGAAATGCTGTAAACAACACCGTGAGTCAAGTTGCTAAGAGAACTCTCACAACCGGGGTCAACGGAGAACTTCATCCTTCTAGATTCTGCGAGAAAGATTTGCTTAAAGTTGTCGACAGAGAGTACGTATTCGCCTATGCTGACGATCCTTGTCTAGCTACCTACCCTTTGATGCAAAAGTTGAGACAAGTGCTTGTGGAGCATGCATTGGTGAATGTGGAAGGTGAGAAGAATTCAAACACATCAATTTTTCAGAAGATTGCAACTTTCGAAGACGAGTTGAAGGCTATCTTACCTAGGAAGTCGAAAGTGTAAGAGCTGTGTACGAAAACGGACAAAGTGGAATTCCAAACAAGATCAAAGAATGTAGGTCTTATCCATTGTACAAGTTTGTCATAGAGGAGTTGGGGACCGCGTTGTTGACTGGCGAAAAGGCGATTTCCCCGGGCGAAGAGTGCGACAAAGTATTCACAGTTATGTGTCAAGGTAAAATTGTTGATCCTCTTATGGAATGTCTTGGAGAGTGGAATGGTGCACCTCTTCCAATTTGTTAACTAGTATGAATAATTTTTTCTATATCTATAGTAGTTGCATTGAGAAGAAATTGGTTTGTCTATAAGTCTATGGAAAATGGCAAATACATGTGTTCTTCTTTCTCAATGCATGGTTAATTATGAAGTTTTCCTGAATGTTAAGGAAGTTTTAATTGTTTCTGTAATAGAATTTAATTTGTTTGCCACAGCTTTGGGTGGAAATATCATATGATATGTGGTATTTGATGTAAATGGTGTTTTTCTCCATGAATAAATAGTGTTTCAGACATGAATATTGTACTATTATATTTTTATGGTTATTTGTCTGATGCTTTGATTCACACATGATTGATTCCACTGACAGGGTCAAATATATGTAGTTATAGTGACTGTAGTAAATCGTACTAGTAGAAGTATGTTGAATTTTGCAAAATGGGTGAATAAAGTAAGTTTGATGAGAAGCATTATTTAAGGATCAATCAATCTTGTAGAAGAGAATCTATCTACTCAATGGTCTATAAAAATATGGTGATCTTTAGTGGGCCAGGAAATAATGATCTGCGAGGAAAACGAGCATTTTTCTTTTTTGAAATTGATATAAAAAAAACAACTTCTTAGGTCGGTTTTAGTTATATCCGATTTAAGAAAGTAAGTTCTTAGGTCGGATATAAATGGCCCGAGAAGTTTCTTCAGGCTAGACTTATTAAGTCGGATTCTGTCTAATCGACCTAATAATAGTTTGTTAAGTCAGGTCCACAACCGACTTAAGAAGTCAAAACTTCTTATGACGGTAATTCTTAGGTCGGGCTCGAACCCGACTTAAAAAGTCATTTTTAACCGACTTAAAAAGCCTTTTTTTCCACTAATGAATGTATATGAAAATCCTTTTTATTATAGTTTAATTATAAAAAAAAATGTGAAGCTATGTGTTATAGATCGTCTTGTACGCTCTCAAAGACGGTCCTGATTACTAAATATCGATTATGTTCTTATGCATAGACATGATATTGACTTGAGTTTTGAGAGTATGCTCCTCTCAAGTTCTCGGGTTCGAATCTTGTTAGGTGTGATCAATCCTTGTGTTGGGTCAGTTCATACAGAATAATATTCCGACTTTAAACGAGATCCCCGCTAATAAACGATGAAGTTGGTCTCCTTAAATTAATCGGTCATAAGGCCAAATAACAAGATTTAAAAAATATATATTTATTTTATTGGTAGATGTAGTAATAATCAATTGAAACTCATAGACACACAAATGAAAGATAGAGATATGGAGTTCAAACTTTGAAATTGTGTTCAATTTACCAATATTAGATTTTTAATACTTGAGATTGAATTTGCATGCGTGTTTATATATTTCTATTCAAACCAAAATAAGAAAAAATGAACTAAATGCACATGACTATTTTTAATGGATGTCTAATATGATTTAAAGTTAAATGTTACTCCATGATTATTAATATGACTATTTTTGATAAATTTTAATGGATGTCTAATAAGAAAAAGTGAACCAAATGCACATGTTTAATTATGACTTTTTGATATATTTTAATAAATATAATATATTTTAGTTATTTATTGTTATAAAGGTAATTTTTTATATTAAAAATAGTAAATATTCACCATGAAATTATTTTTAAAAGATTCATAAAACTGACTCGTTTTTAACTAAGGTAAGAAATATTTGGCTACTATCCCAACCAAAAGTTATTTAGTTGTACACATAAATTCTATATACTTGTGGTTTCGGTTCTAATTGGATGAAATGGATTCAAGGATCTGTTTTTAATAGTTATGTGTCGATTCTTATTAACGGTAGCCCTTCGAAGGATTTTAGGGTTGGTAGAGGGCTGAAGCAGGGAGATCCGTTGGCGCCAGAAGGTCTGTCTTGTGTTGTTAGAGATGCGGTTGCCGGTAATTTATTATCAGAATTCAAGATCAACTGTCATACCACTGCGAACTTGCTCTAGTTTACGGATGACACTCTGCTTATAGGAGATGCTTCGATTTCTAATATCTGGACATTCAAGGTTATCCTGCGCGCGTTTGAATTGAGCTCTGGTCTGAAGATTAATTTCTCAAAAAGCTGCCTCTACGGGATAGGTGTTGATTCTGCTGTTCTTGCTGCAGCAGAAGTTTTCCTGCAATGTAAACCTGGTACGCTGCCTCTCAACTTCCTTGGTCTTACGGTTGGAGGTAATCGCCGCCGACAATCTTTTTGGAATCCAGTTCTGTCTAGGTTGAGGAGCAAGCTATCTAATTGGGCTGGGAGAAATTTGTCGATGGGAGGTCGAGTTTCCCTCATTAACTCGGTGCTTGTTAACATGCATATTCATTACTTGGCTTTTTTCAAGACTCCCAAGAAAATTGTAAACGACATTATTGCAATCCAACGGCGTTTTCTTTGGGCTGGGAATTCTGATAAAAAAATTCATCCCTTGGGTTTCGTGGGATTCTATTTGTAAATCTAAGGAGCAAGGAGGTCTGGATATTAAACATGTTGGTTACCTTAATATTGCCCTTTTAGCAAAATGGTTGTGGAGATTTCAAAGCGGCAGTAACGAAATTTGGAGAAGGTCTTTAAATCTTAGATACGGTAATCTGAGTTTGAAGGTGCAGACTTATATTGATGCGGGCGGCTCAAAATACGATTCAACTTGGATGAGAGATATTCTATCCAATTCGATAAACGGTTCTCACGTGGATTTCTATAAGTTCACGGCTTGCACTATTGGAGATGGTCGTGACACGAAATTTTGGCAATCTAAATGGATTGGAGATTTACCGCTTAAAATTAGATTTCAGCGTCTTTTTCGGGGCTGTTCCAGGTTAGTTCATTCTATTTCGTTTTATCCTCATCTGTTTCTGTTAATGAGCCTCAAAGAGATAGTGTTATCATCCTGGAAATCCTTTGGAAAACGGCTCTTCCGGCAAAAATCCAAACTTTTATTTGGAGGATGGCGCTTGACAGACTGCCTACTAGATCTAACTTGCTGAAAAGAAAGGTGATTGACGACCCCCAATATACGGAGTGCGCGCTTTGTTCGACTTGCTCCGAGGATATTTCTCATCTCTTCTTCACATGCTCTAAATCCTTGAAGGTTTGGGATAAGATATGCGAGTGGGTAGACATAGGGTGTATATCGGAGGATACTTGTTATCTTCATGCGAAGGTTTGGAACTCGAGACTATCGGGCCGGTGCAAAAAGAATAACATCAACTCTATTTGGTTTATATCTTGCTAAATCTTATGGAGGGCTAGAAATATCATTATTTTCAAAAATGAATCTTTTGATGTAGACGACATTGTTCTTGACATTAAAGTGTCATCGTGGAATTGGTTGATTCTAGGTATAAGAAGGATAATAAACATTGTACTATGTACGATTGGTTTAAATTTCCGTTTGATTTCTTGTAATTTCCTGACTTTATTGGTGGTTGTTTCCTTGTTTTTCTTGAGATTTTCTTAATCTCTTTCGAATATATCTTGCTTATCAAAAACAATTTATTTTAATTTTTATGTTAATAATATTGAAAATGATTCCGTGTATATAATGTCATAAATTATAATTAACTTATCATATGTATTTTGATTTTAGTGTTAAAGACATTTGTAAAGTATTAAATTTAGCTAGTTAATTAGTAATAAGTAGGATTTTTGGTAAATAATTTAGATATAACTGAATAGTAATGAATAATTGTATTATAAACTAGTTATATGCTCCAACGATTTTTTTAGTGATTTATTTGTAAAATAGTTATCATACAAGTTATAGTTAGTGTATTTCATATAAACATTTTAATTCTAAGTATTTTCTTTTACTTAAATAAATATTAATTTTAATTAATCATTTAATAACGAACATTTTTATCTTGATTTTTTAATATAATATAATTGTGTATGTTTTATTTATTTATTTAAAAAGTATAAAAGTATTAAACTTAAGTAATTATTAATTGATTCTTGTCTCTTATAAGAGACATAAATTATAGTTAATATAAGAAAAGACAACATACGTGTCAAAATTAGAAGTAGGGTTTATTTTGATTTTATGCTAGAATGTTAATATTTTATTTGTTTAAGGAGTATAAAAACATTAAACTTAATTAATTATTAATTGATTCATGTCTCTTATAAGATACTTAAATTAAAATTAATATATAAAAGGCAACATATGTAAAATTCAAAGAAACAATAAGTGTCAAAATTAGAAGTTGGGTTAAATCTGGTTTTATGCTAGCATATTAATATTTTATACATTTAAAAATATAAAAAAAATATTAAACTTCATTAAATATTAATTGATTATTGTCTTTTATAAGAGACACAAATTAAAATTAATATTAAAAAAAGGCAACATATGTAAATTAAAGGAAATAACACGTGTCAAAATTAAAATTAGAGTTAATTTTGGTTTTATGCTAGCCTGTTGTTTTCGTAGATTTATTTTTAAATTTTTTTACAAAAAGATCCATAAAATATATTCATAAATTAATTTTTCAAAAAACTGATTCTTCCATATTCAACGGTAGAGTGTAGATCTAATCAATGAAGGAAGCACCAGAGGAAAGATAGTGAACCGGTTTTGAAAAGAGGTCTAAAATAATTTCAAATGGAAACATAATTTTCTATAAGTAGTATATCCTAAAACGAAACCCTACTTTTATTTCAAACCAAAGCCCTAGTTTCATTCAAAGTGTAACAGCATCCACATTCTCCCTTTTCTTGTCCGTATCTTACCGTCGCCAATCAACCGAGAGATGATGAACCATGATGACGATGATGTATCATCATGGCTTACACTCTCACTACCATGTTCATCATCCCTTGGACCTTTTAACACTACGTACCATGGTGTTCCTCATGCTGCTGCACTTTCATACAAAGAACAAGATATGGTGAATTCATCATCTTGTCTTACACTTTCTCTATCACCACCTCAACCTCAACAGTTAGAATACGCTCCATTAACACCTTCACTTTCTCCTCCTAATGCTATCACTGGTAGCAATAGCGTGGTGCTGGAAAGTCCTCAAACTATTCAACCACCGTTCCCATGGGCAACTTTAAAGCCCGCCACCGTTCACACTATTAACCACTTGTTGTATGATTTGAATATTAACACTATTTCAGGTACTCTTGAATGCAAATTCTGTAAGTTTCAACAAACTGACGTTCGTTTTGATTTGCTTGAAAAGTTTGAGAAAGTGGCAAATTTCATCGAGGAGAAAAAGTCTGAGATGTTTGAACGTGCACCGGATGCATGGATGAAACCTGTGTTGCCAAACTGCAGGAATTGTGGTCCTAAAAGCAAAATGAGGCCATTGATTGGAAAGAATGAAGAGATCAATTGGCTGTTTTTGTTTTTGGGTGAGATGATAGGTTGTTGCAATCTTGTGCATTTGAAGTATTTTTGCCAACATGCTAATATTCACAGATCAGGTGCCAAAGATAGATTGCTATATCAAACATATTTGAGTTTATACAAACAACTCCAACCACACTGACCCTTTGATCCATAGACTGCAAACTCAATTACTTTAGTTTGATATATTGTTTTTTTTTCTTTTTCATATTGATCAATGTCTCTGGGCACTTAGCACTGACAGTAATTTTTTCTTTATTATTTTATTATTTTATGCTTTTAGCGTGTCGTTGAAGTTTTTTTTTTATCGAGTGTTCAATTTTTTTCTTTATGATATTTTGATGATCATGGTATTTTGAAAATGCAGACTATTTGTTTTTGTTTTGAGTGAATATTTGTTACTATGATGTATACAGAGTAATATTTGGTTTAACATTTGGTTTAATCCTTAACTTGTGATTCTGTAAAATCTAGTTGAAACTTGTATATAATATACTGTAATGGAGTTTTTTTTCAATGAAATACAAATATAACTCTAAGCATACAAGTAACAACATGTGCCAAAGATAGATTGCTATATCAAACATATTTGAGTTTATACAAACAACTCCAACCACAATGACCCTTTAATCCTATTGGATGTACTTTCTTTAAATGGTTTAACTTTTCAATTATTTGTCTAAGTAACATTCTTACTGATTGTTATTTGTTCGAGTTGCACTCCTTATGCGTTTTTATTCAATCCATTGCTTATAATCTTTTTTTTTTAGTTTATTTTAGTTAAGTGGGATTTTTTTTTAAAATAACCAAATATCGAATAAAATATATCAGAAAAACCAAAGTTTCAAAAAGTTGACGAAAATGGCAAACATTCAACAAACATTCGCCATTTGAAATGGCGACTTAGTTGAAAGATGATTTTGACCGTAAACCAATTCGCTAATTGTTGTGGCGACTCAGTGAAAAAGAAGCCCATTCGCCGGACCAAATGGCCACTTAGTTCTAGGATTTCTAGGATTTTTCTTTCCAGTTTTTTTTTTGGTTAATATTTTAATTTATATTATTATCATTTTAATTTTGAATAATGTTTTAAATGACTTTATTACATTATTTTTTTAATTTTTATTACATTTTAATTATTTTTTTATAGTTTATGTAAATATTTTAATACATTAAGTTTGTTATTAAATTTATAAATATTAATAAATATTTTAATTATGTATTAATAAATTTTTTTTATTAAATTATAGTTTGAGTTTTTTATAATTAATTGAAATTTAAATAACCTTAAAAAAATATAAAAATGTTAAAAATATGAAATTATATTAATGAAAATTACAATTACAGTTACAATTGAACAAAAAAAAAAACTAATGTCCGACTCTATCCAAGTGACCACCGGTGCCACATTGCGGGGGATGCGCGTTGCGACGAGGTCTACGACGAGGTTGTTGTGGTGTGTCCGGTCTCTGTGTGTTGAGTTGTGGAGGAGGATATGGTTGGGACGGCCCCGACGTATCAGATAGATTTTGCATCATTTGACCCCAATAGCCGGGAGGTCCACTGTCAACGGCGCTTCCGTAGTCCAGCCCAATGCCCATGTTTTCGAAGGATTGTCGGGGAGGTTGGGTGGAGTATGGACGGTATAGTTGTCCGAATGTGTACATGGAATTAGGTTGGTCTAGGTGTGTTGGTTGTTGCGGGGTATGGTAGTCAAATAGTGGATAGTTGGGGGGGGGGGGGGTAGTTGGAAGGGGTAGGGTCGAATGTGTTGTCTGGGATATAGGCGGAGTGGGTAGGGTCAAATGACGTATCAGAGCTATATTGGTATGGTGGTTGAGGCTGGGTGGGTTGCATATACGGGTCATGGTAAGGCTGTTGATGAGGGTTTTCGTAAGGATGATTTTGGGCACTGGACTGTTGTTGTGTGTTTGACGAAGAAGCGCGTTTCCTTGGGTCGACCAAATATGTCGGCTGGGACAGGAAAGACTGAGATGTCGTGACAGACCTAAACCAAGTCATATATTGAAGACTTGGCCTAGCCCCGTGCACAATACGGTCGGTCAAGACGTGCTGCATTCTTCTCTTCCAGTGTGTACACAACTCCTTTGCAAACTCCTTTCAATGACTGACACTCCACTGTGAGTCCACCCGCTTTTGATGCCACTTCCCCAAGTCTACCGGAGCATCTGGAATATCTTGATGCATCTCAAACTGTAGCTTGACCCGGTCACTTTGGTGCATCTCCACCGTAGTGAACCTAATTATAGGTGTTCTCGATGTCCACACAACAACATCATTGCGGTCAGCCTGGTGGTCTAGACCCTCGTACGGCATCCAAACAAACTAGAAAAAAGGTGAATACATTTAGTCAGATAGAGATAGAGAAGTTTATTCATATAATTTAGACAGATTGGAGGTAAATAACTTACATCATCTAGCACAAGGTGGTCGATGAGGTTGCGGTATTGAATTATAGAGTGTCTGGGACATCTCTGATAATTCATCCCTGGAACAGACCACCTAAAAAAAAGAAACAGATATAAGTTAGCATCTAAAACAATAAGGAATAAATTTGGTTGCCAAATAATCTTGAAAAGAAACTTACTTGTTGGCGAACGGGAATGTAAAAGGATTCTGGTTTATTGGAGCAAGCGTCGGCATCCTAGACCAACCCCACGCTTGTAGGAGATAAGCACATCCATAAAAAGTACATGAATTCTTTTTTGAATTTTTGCAAAGTGCGCTATACATATGGGCGAGGACAGCTGATCCCCAACTATATTCGTGCACTTTATTTATATTTTTTGGTAAGGGCAAATACATAATATTTATGGTATTTCCAGTTCCCTCTGGAAATAAAAAGTGCCCGAATAAAATCATAATATAGCACCGAGTTTTGAGTATTTTGTCATACTCGACGCTATCATCACTTAGAACAATATTGTTGTATTGTTCTCTAAGGTATTTTAAATTTATCCCCTGACCCCTCGGGCGGCCCTCACTCTCTGCCTGAGGTGCATCCGTACAAAGTGGAGCGCCCAATAAATCTTCGTAAAGTCGGCCAGGGACACTGACTTTGCCGTTGACGGCCTTACCATCGATGTGTAGGCCGAGCAACATGTAGACATCCTGAAGAGTCACAGTACACTCACCAAAAGGAAGGTGAAATGTATGTGTCTCCGGTCTCCAGCGTTCTAACAACGCTAGAATAAATTTTGTAAGTGCTCTTGATTGACTGCATTTTATGGCAAAATACGAGTACTTGTATGAATGTCATGTTTAATGTTGCTACATTCATAATATGGACTGTGTAGGGTAAGTTAACTAAGCTAACTATAAGTTAAGCTGGATGTCATACTCAATGTTAAGACATAGGTTGTATGACATCAATCAGAAGTTTGTTATTCTGGTAGCTAGAACTCAGGAAACAACTCAGAAGCTCAAGCTGGAATGCAGGAGACATTTTAGATGCCCTAGGGGAACTAATATGTACCTGATTAAAGTGGCAAACGTGTAGAATACTGAAGAGAGGTTTTATGATGGATAAAACCTACCTTATGCGCCCAGGCCCAAGGACTGATCTACTGCTATAAATACCAGGAGAAGCAATCCTAGAAGGCAGCTGTTAGAGATAGAGAAGCAGAGAAATCACCATAGTGGTTTAAAAGTGAAGAGGTTGTTCTTCACGATTGTGTCTTAGGAACAATTGTAATGCAAGCAACTATTGATTGCGTTAGTTAGGTAGTTTCTAGACTGTGTAGCACTTGAAGCTGTTAAGCAAGAGTGTGTGTGTCACTTGATCAAAGCTTTGAAGCAAGATCAAGGTGTGTGTGTGTAGGTGAAGTGTTTCTTCATTCTACTGTTAAATTTGTAACTGTTTGATATCACTGTTGTGTGATTGTAAGAAGTGAGTGGGTATACTCAGGTCTAGAGTGTCTCTAGGTTAAATTGTCATTGGGTAGGTTTTAAGTGAAGAGTGAAAACTGGAGGTTTGACTCTGAATTGATTTACTGATAGTGAAATTTCTCCCTGGCTTGGTAGCCCCCAGATGTAAGTATGTTGCACTGAACTGTGTCAACAACCAACTGTGTTATTTACTGCTTTGTTATTACTGCATAATAGTAGGTCTGTAGTGAATGTCACAGTGGATGTTATAACTTCTGTTAGAACATCCATCGTGGGCCGACCAGAATTTTCAATTGGCATCAGAGCAGGCACCCTGCCTGTTTATTACTGGGTGAGATCTAGGGAAACAAAATTCTGGTACTATGGATAAAGATATTGGATTCACCAATAGACCTCCAATTCTAGATGGCTCTAATTATGACTATTGGAAGCCTAGGATGATTGTCTTCCTAAGGTCCTTAGACAGCAAGGCTTGGAGAGCTGCAAACTCTGGCTGGGAACATCCTGTGAAGACTGACAAGGATGGAGTATCTGTGCAAATTCCTGAAGAGGAATGGACCAAAGAGCAAGAGGCATTGGCTCTTGGAAACTCTAAAGCATTGAATGCACTCTTCAATGGTATAGACAAAAACATCTTTAGACTGGTCCACCACTGTGAACTAGCAAAGGATGTCTGGGACACTCTCAGAACTACTCATGAAGGAACTTCCATGGTCAAAATGTCAAGACTTCAAATGCTAACCACAAAATTTGAAAGTCTAAGAATGAAGGAAGATGAGACCATTCATGACTTTTACATGAATGTTCTTGAACTAGCTAACACCTCAGGAGCTATGGGAGAAAAGATGGCTGAAGAAAAGCTTGTAAGGAAGATACTAAGGTCACTACCTAAAAGGTTTGCCATGAAGGTAACAGCCATTGAAGAAGCTCAAGGCATATGCCACATGAAATTAGATGAACTCATTGGATCCCTTCAAACCTTTAAAATGAGGATGTGTGATCAGGCTGTGGAGAAAAAGAACAAGAATATAGCTCTTGTCTCAAACACTGCTGAGACTTCAAATCATGAAAAGGAGGAAGATCTATCAGAGGCAATAGCTATGCTTGGAAGACAGTTCAACAAACTGGCCAAAAGGATAGATGCTAAGTCTAAACCTTATTTCAAAAGCTTTCCTACTGACAAAGAAAAAGCTGAAGACAAAGCCAACCAAAGCAGAGGAGTACAGTGCCATG